TCACAATATTTTAAAAGAATTACGAAAATTAATCATCTTAAAATATTAAGTAACAGACCATTACTCTTTTCTTTGTTTCTAACAGAATTTTCCTGTTCCTTTATAGCATTTGAAAGGCATATTTCTCTGTCTCAATGATCCTTCGGATTTTAGTGTCACACATTCTGTACCCTGTTAAGTATCTCTTGAGTATAAGAATATTAGAGCAGCCTATTTGTGTCTGAAGGAAAGGAACTTGTAATGTTTTTGACATAACGTATTGCTATGAATAATCAAGACTGGTCTCCCCTTGTTTTGTTACTCTCCTCTTTGAAAGAGCTATTTCCATTTACCGGGACTATAAAAGGACACTTTACCTGAACCTTGTATTCTCAGTTGAATAAATAAAGCCTTCTTAAAGCCTGCACCTGCGTACTTTTATCATTACAGTTATATTTCACAATATTTTAAAAGAAATACGAACATGAATAATCTAGCTTTTAACTAAAACTACCAAGTGCACTAACTGGTCTATTTATCTATTTATACACCGCCAGATTTTATTAAAAAACTCATTTTGTTTTAAAAAAAAATTGGTGAAAAAACACAAGATTTTGATAACATTTTCAAAATATACAGATGGATAAAATTCGTCTAAATTACGCAAAAAATGAAAATAACACTGACATCTTATTTTAACAGATATCTTTACCAAAATGACACAAAAATATCTTGAAATGCGAAAAAGTAAATTTATTCAATAAAATCGTCATTGGCTTCAACCACGGCCTCCAAACGAGTTCAGAATACTCTGCAACTCCTCTAGACGGCCTCCTTCATCTGTCATCTGTTATGTTTTATTTAATTACTTCTGTCAAAATTCTTTCCATACCCTCTGCACTGCACTCGGATTGACATTCAAACATTCTGAAATGTTTGTACTGGAGTTTTCGGTGAGAATGCCAAGCAGTACAGCGGAATGATTTGCGTCATAGTGCTTTTTTTTTACTCACAGACGGGGCACAACTGACCCTTTTATACTGTGTAGTCGACAAAATAAAATAATAAAAAACAACCCGAATGCGCAAAATTAAAACTTGCGACAATTTACCCATCGCGCTATATATATATATATATATATATATATATATATATATATATATATATATATATATACATGTTTCATTAAATAATACAGACAAGTGTTGTCTATTTTATGTAAGCATGAGAACTCTTATGTAGTTTGAAGGAATCATATTTTTTTTAAATAATTATATATATATATATATATATATATATATATATATATATACAGTGAACTAAAGAATATAAAACAAATACTTAATAATAATAGCTTTCCAAACTATATAGTTGATGAACAAATAAGATGCTTTCTTAGAAGTCTTAATACTAAGCAAATAGAACATAATACTGGTTCAACTAATCCCAAATATATTAATCTTCTATATCGTAGTCAAATGCATACTAATTATAAACAAGATAAAAATATACTAAAAGAAATTAGTAAATACTAATATATCTAAAACAGATTCTATACTAAATCGAGTATATCCAACTTAATTATTTGCAATGATTCTTCCCCCTTCCCTTTAGTGATTTGCAAAAAACCAACAAATTCAAGTGCCCTTTGGGAGATTGTATCTCCAATGGATTAAATACCACAAACTCGATTTCACGAAGCTTGACTCTAGATTTGAATGATGTTTTTAGGCATTTAAAACAACATGTCTGGCCGCGTACACAATTCCGAAAAATCCTCGTTGAAAACACAATTATTCTTAAACATGAAAACAATAAACAAAAACTAACAATTCTTGAAGCTATGTACATAAAACAGTTGGAACCTAACATGAACAAAACAAACTACGATATATTCACAAATATCCTTAAATGTCTATAATTGATAACAGAAGCCATGGGTTTATATCAACGGATTCCCATACTTAATACTTCTCCTTTTCACTCTCGCGAGGTCATGTGTAAAGTCACGAGCTGCGATGGGATTTTCGCTTCCGCGTCTCGTATACACGAGTTTGTCGTTGCTTTGACATTTTTCATGCATCAAAAACATACTATCATTAATGTTTCGTCCGTGTATTGTTTGGTATATTGAAATGTAATTGTCATCTTTGATAATGGCTTATTTAAGCCGAAAGCTTAGATAGGATTAAAGCATGTATCAATATGCTGATTTCCTTTCGTCTTTCAATGATAATGTTGTTAAGCTTATCAGGCAATATGAATGAAACTTACTTAAAATAAATAAACAAAAATTGTCGATATTATTTAATGAAACATGCATCAATGAAAAATTCCTGCCTAAATATAATATATATATATATATATATATATATATATATATATATATATATATATATACTTTGTTGTATTAATGTGAGTTTAGAACGTGGGTTTCACACCCTGACGATCGCAATGGGCGTGAAACCCAGAGTGACAAACTCACATGAATACAACTAAGTATGTTAGCTTTATCACCGATAGTGAGCGCTTTCTAATAAGTACTATATATATATAATATATACATAACACATATGCACACACACGAACACACACACACACACACACACACACACACACATATATATATATATATATATATATATACATGCATACATATATAAATGTTTCTATATATATATATATATATATATATATATATATATATATATATATATATATATATATATATATATGTGTGTGTGTGTGTAATTAGGCAACAAATTCTCTTTTAGTTATGTCTGATAATAAATTACAGACATTATGTTCAAGTTTAATTTTAACAAAATCCGTTCATATCACGAATAACTTTCCGTGTATTGATGTCGAAGGATGAGAGAAATGTACCTATAGCTGTTTGAATTTCTTTTTATTTTCATTTCCCAAGCACTTTCGATCTTTTATTTTATTCAATCAATCAAACACACACACACACACACACACACACACACACACACACACACACACACACACACACACACACATATATATATATATATATATATATATATATATATATGTAGGCGAATGCTATTAAAAACGGTGGATTTTTAATCGGTTAATTTTAATGATCGACTTTTGAAAATTATAAGTAATACTTCTCTGTCCAGGGAAATTCCGTCAGAATTAAGTTCATATATATATATATATATATATATATATATATATATATATATATATATATATATATATATATATATATATATATATGCTTGACAATTTTATATGCATTTTTATTTTAAGTAGACTTGTCATATTTGGGAAGGATATTTGAATAATCCAGAACCTATACTGGCAGCAAATCTGTATACGAATAAAAAACAATTCAATAAATATACAAAGATATCCAGTGGTTTTCTCACTGGACTTGTTAAACCTGTACAGTGAGGCTATTCCGAGAGAATTAGAAATCCTATCATTATTTAGTTTACGCAATCTTAAGAAGCATAAGGTAGCAAATTCTCTTTTTAGTTATGTCTGATAATAAATTACAGACATTATGTCTGTTAATTTTTACCAAAATCCGTTCATACTCACGAATAACTTTCCGTGTATTGATGTCGAAGGATGAGAGAAATGTGCCATAGCTGTTTTATATAAAGCAGAAACGGGAAGGAAACATACAAGTAGTGAAAGAAAGCGAGAAGAAAGGACTAAACATCAACAGAATACATAGTTGTTAACAAAACATACAGCCTCGCATGCAAATTACAAATTGGAGTTACCAATATCAAACAAGGACAACAATTTAAATAAGTGTTTTTACAGAGGACAGAAAATGTGACACTGAAATCCGAAGACACGTTGGGTTAGCTAAAGATGCCTCCCAAAACTCGGCAAAGTATTAAAAAACAGGAAAATTCCATTAGAAACATAATGTACTGGACTATTATGTAATATCAGTCCTACTATATGGCACTGAATGCTGGACAATCTCCTCACTGACTAAGAATAGATTTGAAGTAACCGAAATTTAGTTCTGCAGAAGGATGCTGAGGATACTATGGACAGAACATGTGAGCAACATCGAAGTTTTAGAGAAAATGGGATCAAAAGGGATACTTAATCTTAACCTCAGAATGAGGCGGTTGAACTTTCAAGGACACATAATGAGGAAAGAAGGCTTGGACAATTTGATACTCACAAGGCAGATTGAAGAAGGACAAAGGAAAAAAATCATAACTTAGCTAGAGAGTTTGTGTAATTGAATGTCTGAATAGAGTTAGAAATGATATCATAAAGAGACCTATTTATTAAGAGCTATAACTGACAAGAAATTGTGGACAGCCACGACCCGTAATATATATATCCAAAATTCGATTGAGGATGAAATGGAACTAATGTTTTTAATTTAATTACAAAATTAAATTCGAAGCTTTCAGCTTCCATTTTTGAAACATGGTTATCACTGTGTAGCGAAAAAAAAACATATTTTTAACCAGTTAATTTATAATATTAATGCTTTGTAAATTTACACTGAGCACTATTTTTTAAAAATAAAAAATAAAAATACCAATAAGAACACCGGATTATATATCTTACTGTTCTTTCTTTCTTTCTTTATATATATGTGTCTGTGTGTGTGTGAGTGTGTGAGAGAGAGAGAGAGAGAGTGAGGGAGAATTTAATCTCCTGGTCTGATATTAATGTTGGGTGTGGCTCTTTTGATTCTACTGGATGTCTATAAGTAAATTCTCATTGATTGATGCGTTTCCTACGGCTTATCAACCCTTTGCAACATATTTAAAGCCAGCAAATATTTTTAGATTTTAAGAATTATAATTTGGGATTGTAATAATGATTTAGTGATACGAATCTTAATAATTAACCCATAGCTGAGGGAGAAGAGGTGGATCTATGCCTTTCCCAAGTGTTATTGCGCGTAAATCAATATAACGAATCCAATTAGAATTGGAACACTGTACTCGGATTAGGAATTCCGAGCCATTATCCATTAGGCTCCCCACCCCCGCACATCCAAGCTTACAGCACCTAACATTTCCAAGCCGTCACCCATATAGGTACTGACCAGCTTCAACGTTGCTTAACTTCGGTGATCGTACGGGAACCGGCGTTTGAACATGATGTGGCCGTAAGCCCAAGTGAATCCTGCAGAATAAACGAATCAGCTTGGGTTGTTAATAAATACGTCACGTCCAACAGATCGCATATTTATAGCTTCCGGTCGTAATATCAATGGCGGCTTGATCAGCAAAACTTGCTAGAATACAAAATAGGATGAAGCATCAAGCCCAGGAGAGTGACAACTTGCACGAGCGTCCCTAAAGGAACTTCAGTGACGTCTGAACCCGCTAGTTTTATCAGTGTCCGCGAAGTGGCCTGACAATCAAAGGCGAAAACGTCTTTGAGTGACGCAGGGAGTTGGATTTGTAAGAGAAATTGAAGCGGCAGATTAATGAGGCCGCAAAATTTGTTTAGTGCGTTGATGCGTGATAGTGAATTGAAGTCAAACGTAGTTTATTCAGAACGTTTCACCTGCCTGGGCCTGAACCCTGAGCGGAGAATCCATTTAGAAAACAACGGAGCATCTCCGTTTGTTTTAGTTTCCGGCAGAACCTTGACATGAATCGATTTAATTAATTGGTAAGGTTCCTGATTTACTGTATAAATTCAAAATCGTAAACCACATTCGTTCGTTTTAGACATTTCTCTTTTCATTAATGCAATACTCGACTGTAACTGAAGATCGATTCATACTACAATACAAAAATATTTAAATTCGCTTCATACACTAAAGAGATATTCGATAGAAAAACATACTGCACAGAAGTAGTTAGGTCCGTATTAGTGTACAGAAATATATAACTTGATTCGTTTTATCACTTTAAACGTTATTTTTTAGTGGATACTCATATTTTAGTAGACGCCCTGTTTATTAATTAAAGGTATATTTATTTATGACTACTGACCGGAATATTCTAGAAATCTTATTGAAGTTAACTTTAAACATTTCTTCGTTTACATTTTGGAAACGAAACTGGGCAATTGGAAAATTTCGAGTCTATGAAGGAGAAGAACTTCTTTTAAAGGCGTTATTCAGAATCGCTTGCTCGGCAAACGTTCGTTATGGCCGAGTCAATTAAAACAAGTCGGATCTAACGATTGTTTCCTCTGCCCAGGGGGATGCAGATTCGAATCCTGCCGAAGAGGGCGTATTTTTATTTAATATTTCACAAATATTCAGGCGGGTAGACGAAAATAGATAGATAAAAAGAACGTCTACTCAAGTATGTGTAGCCACTAAAAATATTATTTAAAGTGATAAAAATCTGTCAGATTAATAACTAAAAAATCGTTACTTCTTTATAAATTAACTTGATTCATACTGTACAGAAATATTTAAGCTAGATTCACTTTGAACAGAAATAATTTAGCGTGCTCCATACTGTACAGATATATTTAATCTCGATTAATTCTGACGATAGATATTTAAGTTTGATTTAGATTCTTTTTTCAGAAATCCATACTGTTGAACAGAAATAATTTTGTTCCGTATACTGTACAGATATATTTAATCACGATTAATGACGATAGATATTTAAGTTTGATTTAGATTTTTCATCCATACTGTCATTTAAACTAGATTCACTCTGAACAGAAACAGGTTGCTCCATTGATTTATAATGTATGACGAAGATATTTAATATTTAATCTTCATCCACACTGTACAGAAATATTTAAGGAATTTAATCTCGCTTCATTCTGTACAAGACAGGTTAAGCTTGATTTATAGTGTATAAAAATATGTAATCTGCATCCATTCATTTTATTCCTTCAGAAAATATAAGCTCCATTCATTTTAAACAGAAATATTTAATCTCAGTCTATTCTGTACAGAAATATTTAAGCGTGATTCATACTATAATGATATAATTAATCTTTTTCTATAAATACTTTCATGGTGATTGTTCGTATGAACTTACAGCTATTGTACCTATTGTAAATTTAAGCGCAGTACTAAGCTGGCGGAAAAGTCTAATCATTTTACAATTGAAGTAGCTAGATATAGTCGCAAGTTCTATGCCAGCAGTTTCCTCTATCGCACTTCTCGCTTGTGAAACTCTCTTTCGGCTTCTTGATTTCCTGTCAACTTTGATCAAAATGCAATATTAATCATTTAATTCTTAATTTTTTATTGTCCTCTCTCCATAATAATGTTTTTTTTTCTCATATTCTCTAAGACTCAGTAAACCCTTGCGTCTTAGTGACTTTATTGCCTTGCTCGGGCGGAAATGATTAAAAAAAATGGGGGGCATATCCTGTGGAATCACGAAAAAAAATTTCCTTGCAATACTATTTTTATATTTTATATTTATCTTTACTCCATTTTCCAAATCCGCTGACGGGTCGAAATAGCCTTCCGCCAAAGAATATACATTCGCATGGTAGATAACACATCTCTTTATTAATAACTAGCAGTAGAGCCCGGAGTAGCCCGGAGATGTAACAGTAAGAGATAGATCAAGTATCGACCATCATAAAGACTGAAAAATAAAATTGACAAAGATTATTGTTTAAGGTTGATGTCATAATTATTTTTTTTTTTTTTACGAATTGGTCAAATTGTTTTCAATCGTTATGAGTCTACCGATTGAATAGAATTTTATTATAAACAATTGTCTTGTAAATGGAATTTTTAAAGCATTCTGAATGTAAAAATAAAGAAAAAAGTGTGCAAGACAATAAGAAACACTATCTGCCAAAAAAAAATGAAGTTTTGTTGAAATCGGTTGAAAAATGTAGAAAATCCGATCCCATATATAAACGAACACACACACACACACACACACACACACACACACACACACACACACACACACACGCGCGCACACACACACACACAACCTGGGTTTTATAATAAATACTTATTATAACTAAAAAATCGTTACTTCTTTATAACTCGATATGAGTTGTCCCCCTTTCATTCTCGCGACAGCGATGCATCTTAATCGTGTTTTCAAATTGATTTCGTGCAAAAACAATTGTGTTTTTCCAATGTTTGGCACTGTTAGAACCACCACAAGGTGATTTATGTAGTCCTGTGAAGTTTTGTTGAAATCGGTTGAAAAATGTAGGAAATCCGATCCAATATATAAACGTACCGTCACTCACACACATACACACAACCTGGGTTATATAATAAGTATGATTACAAGAACAGAAACGACTACATTATTAAGCAAAGTCTCTCTATAAAAACAACCATTGAATTTAAACACGTCCTGTTATTATAGAATGTTTATCTGCACATAATCAAATCATACTAGTTCATGCAGAATATCCAATTATCTGATATTAAATCCCAAAACACTTTTACATTGTCGGCTGAAACTAGAATATATCGTTTGCATCGATGGCAAAGGATAGAATCACATCAAATGAGTGCAACTATCAAATAAATTCTTATTGACTCAAATATGAACTAATTTTAATTGACTCAAGCCTATAACGAATCAAATAAACGCTTAAAATTCAGATACAAAAGAGCAATAATTATCTTCACTCCAACTAATTGCTTCCAGACTCAAATAAAAACGTATTTAACTATTACCGAAACAAGTAAATGTTGGACTCAAATATAAACGAAGAAATATTTAACTATCCTGAAACCAAATGAATGCTTCTAGACTCAAATATAAACGATGAAATATTTACCTAACCTGCAACTAAATAAATACTTCTAGACTAAAATATAATCGATGAAATATTTAACTATACTGGAAAGAAAATAAATGATTCTAGTCTAAATATAATCGATGAAATATTTACCTATCATGGAACCAAATAAATGTTTCTAGACTCAAATATAAACGATGAAATATTTAACTATCCTGGAAGCAAATAAACGCTTCTCGTCTAAAATATAAACGACCAATATTTACCTATTCCCAAACCCAGAAAATATTTAGAGACTCAATTATAGCTGACGTGCTATGACCTCTCGGCTACAGAGTGTGTCGATGACTAAGCGAAACTGAATAGTGCCTTTAAACACAGAATTTTCTCTGTTTCTTGAGATATCTGGTCAGTTTCATATGCGAACGTAAACAAAGCAATATGTAAAGAAAGGAATGGAACTTTATTTATTAACCCGACAGATTTTTATTTCTAAAAACTTACTTTTAGTGGATAATCGTATCTGAGTAGAGGCCCTGTTTATTTATTAAACAGTATATTTATTTATTTATTTTCGTCTACCGGACGGAATATGCGCTATCCGACAGAATTCGAACTTGCGTTTCCCTAGGGAAACAGTCATTAGATCTGACGCGCTTTGACCTGTCGGCTACAGAGTGGGCCGATGAGCATGCAAAGCTGGATAATGCCCTTAAACACAGAACCGAAAGGTTGAAAGCTTATAGACCCTAACGTAATGAAAAATAAACTGATCCCCCTTTTAAATAACTCAGTAAAGTATGAAATGTCGTAAATTCACCACAAAACACTGCGTGTTAGAATTTTTATAATTACTATCGTTATCGCAAATGAAAGGAAATTTCTGAGCTCGAAAATCGATTTATGTCATTATTGATGAAGATGCAATGATCTTGACCACAGGGCTGGTGTGAAACATATATTAGGCTCAGTTATAAGATATTTTTATTTTTGAAATCCAAATTTAATGACGAATGTATCATCCTAAGTACTAATGAGTAATAGAATACACTAATATACCATAGTTTTTGGACAACAGTGGCAGCGTACCGAGACAATTATAACGCAGTTTGATATCAGAACAGAAAAGGATCATATAGAACAAGAATTAATGCATAAAAAGATTTTAGGATTCGATTAATCTATTCTACCTGACCTGCCGTATTCAACTTACCTTGCACCAACCAATCATTACCATTTTTTATATCGCTGCAAACCTCTTTGACAGGAAATCTTTCTGTTATGAAGATCAGATTAAAGAGTTCACTGAAAACGTTTTTGCGTCAAAATCTGTAAGATTTTCACATAGTAATGTAAAAAGAGTTGAGAAGGGGAAATGTGGAACACGATTAAAATATATTTATTGATAAAAAATTTACAAATAAAAAATAAATAGTTCCAAGTGAATGTAAAATGAAAA